TCATCATCAACATCGTCATCAAAATGATTCATAAGCGTACTATTAAGGAAGACCTAATTTTGTTTTGAGAAGATGTCAACACGGCCATGTGCCCTCACGTATGTCTCTGATAGGCCTATCAGCTAAACTCGTCAATCAGGTCAATATCAGTCTCATCGTCCTTGTCGTCTTCGTCGTCTCTATCAGTCCTCCTCTGCTGTCCTTGGTACTCAAAGTCCTCGATGGATCCACTTTGGGCACTATCGGCCAACAGCAGACCCAGGGCTGGCCGACTGGGAATGGTTGTCTGAGATAGCTGTTTCGTTACTGACGCCCCCTCCCCTCTGTCCAGAGAGTAACGTCGAATGCGTCGGCGGATAGCGCGCAGCGGAAGCGTCAGTGTCATTATTGTCCAAGAAGCCTGCGCCGTATCGCTTAGGGGAGAAAGCATGGTGGTTTGACCCATTTTTAGGAGAGATCGCAGAGGCAGATCTCTCCGTCCATCCGCCTCTGCATTGGCCTCTCCATCCTCCCTCTTCAGGTCCTCATCGTCAGCCGAGAGGTTGGGCGAAGTGAACTGACGGTTTCGCCAGAAGCTGCCAAACGGTAGACAGGAGGTTTGCGTGATGAGGCGTCTTCTGCTCTGTTTGCTACGCCAACCTCTACTGGTGGCAGGGCGGCTTGGGCAGTCATCGCATTTGACCAGCTCATTTTCGTGGACTGCCATCGCATCAGTCCATACTGTCTCCGCGACCATCCTGGCGACCCGATTGATGGTCGACACCCAATCGGCCATTATCTCCTTTGAGACAGCCTGGAAAGAGATTAAATGTCATGATTACTCCCATGAGAGCTCTCTGCTACCGTGGAAGACATAAAATCGATCCCTGACACACAAGCGTTTTTAGGGTGTTATGCGATTCCAAAACATTTACACAATTGTGAGAAACTTCACATCAAGATACCCCTTATAGTGCAACGGTGACGCTGTCCGATGCTTCATCAAAACGAAAATCTATGCAATATTGGAGGCCTGAAATCTCGATCTTCACATACTGTCATTTATTTTAGACATTTTAACTCAAATATTCCTTGGCCATTGTAAGGAAGCGGGGAATTTAAAGGCAGAGCAAATGAAAGTGATAATTTATGACTTATTGATGGTTTCCCACTCCTCCTATTCTAACAAACCAGATTGGGAAAACGTGAAAATTTTGCCTCGTGGTCTCGCGCTCTATCTCCCAGTGAAAATCGGGCCCTCACTACCGCAGTAGTCAAGGTCAACCGAGATCACTAATCCCGGTCAGATGTGGTTCTGTAGCCCCACCTGGAGTAAACAAACTCCATCCACCTGTAACACGAGATCCGTGGTAATAGGGGTATTTGCAAGTGGGGTTGGGGAACGCACACGCGAAGATGTTAGGTAGTTTTATGTAAAATAAAAGCTATTGGGAATTTCTATGAATACCGTGAGCCTGGTAGTCATCTGGTGGATTCTAGGTGAATTACTAAGGAAATCCCGCTTGGGCAGTCAACTTACTGTATCATATTTGGTGGATTCCAGACGTTGCAGCAGGTAACTTAACCCTAATGTGATTAAACTCGCGTCGTCCGGCGGGGTCTCGTAGCTCAAGTGGTTAGAGCATTGGCTGTACTAAAGCCTTCTCCTTACTGCGTGGCTTCGAATCTCGCCGAGGCGCCTAGTTTTTTACAGTTGGGTTAATGTGATTTATTGAGAATAAAAACAAGCAAGCATAAGAATGCGCGGTTGGACTTTGATGGTTGAGAAATAGTTGCCCTAACTCTTAGCCCCAACCCCAACGGTATTGTGCCCAGTGGGTGGGACTACATAACCACATCGTAGCCTGATCCCAAATCCATTTCTGTTGAAGATAGCGGTTGAGCACGGGAATAAATACTCCTTCATCCTATAGGCGGCATTTTGCTGACTTGCAGGAGTACTTATTCCTATGTCCTAACTGTAGCCCTAACGACCCTAACCTTAACCCTAACGCCAAACCTCTTGGCTAGTCGAAATCCCGATTATCACCACCACCACCACCACCACCACCACCACCACCACCACCACCACCAAGAATGGCATTGAGAACGCAGTCCCTCACCACTCGGCACCACGCACCCTCCTAACTAATCCCAATTCCGACACTAGCCTCAAACCTAACTCTTACCATTTTGCTGACCTCAACTTTAACATGTATCCTGATTTACGAGGAATTTGTTACAAGGCCACCTATAATACGTAAGAGTATTCATTCCATTGCCTTTCCAATAAAACTTTCAGTAGCGTTAATTTGATATAAATATTCAGCTCAAAGGCAAAAGAACAATGCCACAGACTCAGACTGACATCAGCAACTGTAAAAGTCGAACCTCTACGTGTTAGTACCGGCTTTAGCCCTAAACTATTTGGATATTTGAAATTCTAGAAGGATGACAGATGAGGCCGCGCTTCTGATGGCGTCGATAAACCGTAATCTGTTTTACCAAAACTGCTCAAAGACAGCTATACCTACCGCGCTGACAACTACTAGCCATCAGTGGTTAATAGAAGCAAAAACGCGATTCCCAGGTGGCATATCAAAAGAAGAGAAGGCGTTAACCGAGAGAGGTTTTTTGGAGGTCTGGCGTTTCGAGTAGTTGTTCCCTCTACCCGTCTTCAGATACTGGGAAGTCATGGCGCACTTTGCTTGATGCGTGGCCCGCCAATGCCGCCTGTGTGGCTGCATCCGACCTGCATGTCACTGTGAGCTGAATCACCCCTGCCCTCGTCGGCCGCGAAAATAGTTAACGGCTCCCATTGTCTCGCGCCGTGACTGTCCCCCGTTAAGAGGGTTTGTAAAGTCAGATGGGGGGGGGGGAGGGCAAATTGATGTTGCGGTTGACAGAGCTGTCGGTGGACATCCAGGCTTCTTGCATCTGCCCTATATGATCATCACCCCGGCAAACAATCTCAACTGCCTAAATGATGAAGATGTGTCCCATTTGCACGGTATGGGTTGCCACCTCCGACTTTGGATCCAACCTTCGCACGACCAACTTGTGCTCGTGCACTCGCGTTTGCAGCCGTTGGCCGGTCTCCCCAGCGTAGTTGCACTTCCCGCAGCTGCACTGAAGTCGGTAGACAACAGCAGACAACTAATGCTTAGGAATCGGGTATTTTGGCCGCATCACTTGCCGACGGATTGTTGAGTCGGGCCTGTGGGCAACGCCTATTCCGAGCGGCGCGAGGGATCTGGCTAAGGCTTCGGAGACCCCTTTCATGTATGGAGTGCTTCGTCACGATTTCGGCTGACTATGTTTTTCATTCCACTTCCTTGGTTGCCGACGAGCAGGTTGCCAATGCTCAATTACAACAGCAATCACACACTGTAACAAAAACGAAGCTGTGTACGCAATCTATACTGACGGTTGGAAATCCATCGCCGAACGCCAGCTGCCAAACTGGATGAGATGAAGCTCCTCCGAGAGCTCTTCAGAGCCAATGGCTATTTGCGTGTATTCGTTGAACAGAGCCGAAGGCGACAATGGAAGCGGAATGAAGAGCATAGTCAACCAAAATCGTGACGAAGCATTCCATACATGAAAGGGGTCTCCGAAGCCTTAGCCAGATCCCTCGCGCCGCTCGGAATAGGCGTTGCCCACAGGCCCGACTCAACAATCCGTCGGCAAGTGATGCGGCCAAAATACCCGATTCCTAAGCAGGAGTTGTCGGCTGTTGTCTACCGACTTCAATGCAGCTGCGGGAAGTGCAGCTACGCTGGGGAGACCGGCCGACGGCTGCAAACGCGAATGCACGAGCATAATTTGGCGGTAAATATCGCAGATGGACGGCACGGTCCAGCTCGCACCTTGACGCTCCACTCTACGCCCCCACCCCCAAGGGCCACACAACAAGCGACCAGGGTTTTCAGGCGGGCAACGTCGGCCGGCAAGTGGATCTGTAACCTCACCCCGAAATGTTGGCACTTGTTATGGTGCGCATCCCGATAACACCGGCCAGTATCCGAAATGGCCTCCTTGTTTGTCCACCACATCTACGGCGTGGCCCCTTTGGGAGCACCACCAACACCACCACTACGATCATCACCTCATAACTAAAATTCAGATTTTTAATGGATCTCGTTTCGAGAGGTTTAACAAGTAAAACCACGAGAAGGGCGCACTTTTCAGTTGCATCAGGACAGTGTGCGACTGTTTCTACACAAATCCACACTGAATATTTCCACCTACGTTATGTTTAACAAAGATCTTTGCTTGTTGTTCGTCATTTGCATCGGGTAACGTCTATGGGCAGGCATTAATTGAGTAGTCCTGCAAGTAGAACCCAGGTAGGACTAGTTTTCCTGACTTGGAGCTCATGCAACCGGAAAGCACCAAGTTCAGGAGTGACGGTAGCACTGCACGGTAGGCTTTTGAGACAAACAGTGGAATATTTACCCACGTTTCTTTGCGCTAAATTCCAGGAAAGGTACCTATTCGCATGTTCTAAATTTGATCCTAACCCTAAGGGTAACCCCTATAACCCCAACTTTAGCAGTAACCTAACTCTAACCGTCTTGCACAAGTCCACCACTTAAGCGAAGTCCAAATTCCCGTGACCTACCGACGTTTGTGGTTTGGTTGCCAATACTGCACTCTCGTTGTGACGTGAGTTAATATGGGACTACGCAAACCCCTGTTCCGCATAGCCCATGGTTCAGGTTCGTGTCGCACTCAGTGCAGGATGTATGGCAGACAGTTCGTGATGCACAGAGTTGACAGTGACCACCTAACACTTGGAAATGCTCATTTCAATGCAAGTAGATTTTTTTAATTTGACGATCTTTGGATATGTACTATGCGCTGACGCCGTTCTGACAAACGTCTGGTAAAAAAACATGAAGCCAGAAGACGTTGCATTTGCTGCAAACACAGCCCATGAACAACATCCCGGCAGGAAAAGTAGGCACGTCAAAATTGCTGATACTGAAGCCGGCTGGCAAGAAGTGAAAGCCATTGACCAATCACCAAAAACGTGCATAAAAAGACATAAAAGCAAATAACGTGACAATGAGCCTACTGGCGAGGTCGAAGACTGATGAAAGAAAGGGTAACGAGAAGTCGACGCAGCAGGACAATTCTACTCACTTTGAGCAAGTAACTCTCACTTCTGCGCTGGACGTGAAGCATAAAGGCATACCCACGCCGATGTGGTTTAGTGTCTACCGGTATGGCCGACAGACCATCGGACAGGAGGAATTCGCCGTGCTGCTGCCTTTTTACGCGACTGTCCCTTCAAACAAAACACAAATATATCGATTATTTCGCTTCAGCCACCAGTATATTGCAAGGGCCGTGGAAACGGATTAAGGAAGCATGAAAGGACAAAAGTTGAGGTCTGTATAATCGCTTCCTAAAATTGCGCGTTTTGCTTGTCGTGTAGGCTGAAACAGAGAAACTTAGGCGGTCTTGAAAGTTGTACTGCTCGACCGTCACGAGTGACAACGTTCACAACATACTCCGTGGATTGGGTGCGGTCTCAGCGACTTGCATAAGGACTGACCTGCAGTAAGGCAGCATTGCGCAGCATAAGCCACACCCTCTCATCTCTTACCCGCCAAGAGTTGGACGTGCTTGCAGTGGCTGACAAAGTTAGGCAGCCCGTCTACCCGTACCGCACGCAAGATTCGGTCTCCACTATGTGCCGGAATTTCGTGGTGGCCGTTAGAATCCGACTGGCGCGAGGGTCTTAGAAGG